TACTTCCCACCCCAGCACCCCTCATGGTATCCTAGACAATGAATGTTTGTCAAATGAATAAGGGCTGCTTGAGATAGACCCTTTGCTCTGATGAGATGTAGGCCCTCCCACCTTTCAGCTCCTCATCATACAGAAGAATTTCCTCTGTACTGAATTTCCTTCTGTGCTAGGTGAACTTGGGTGGAGCCCTTCTATTTTCTGGGTCCCCAGTGCCTATAAAGTGGGGAGAATCATTCCTGGTAGCTTACTCTGCCCTGCCTGAAGCCTGGGCTAAAGCTTTGTGGGAGAGAGGGGTTGCCCCAAGCTTCTCCATCCCCTTTTTCATACACACCCCTGTATGGCAACCTGGCTGCTGCTGGGACTAGGAATCAGCAGCATTTGGGGAGACCTCTGCATCCCACTCATATGGGGACACTTGCAGGACAAAGCCTGGGCATAGCAGTCTCCCATTCCCAGCTTAGTCTCTGCTCAGCTTGTGACCTGCTGCTGTGGGCAGCCCCGAAGAGTCCACAACGTCCATACTTACAAAGATGAGCAAATTGAAGAGGATCATTATGGTCTTAATGAAGCTGACGCACTGCATCGTGGCTCCTGGGAAGCAGACATGTGTGAGTTAGGGCCTTGGTTCCCCTGGCCCCACCTGGGCTGGCCCTGGCTTCAGATATTCAGCCAGATATGCCAGACCCCAGGATCCTGAACCCATATCTCACCAAGCTTCTCCTGTACCTGGTCTGACACCACTGACCTTTTCCCAGTTTCTATCCTAACACCCTTACCCCTCTATACTACCCAGGACCTCCACCCGCACCTGACACTCTGAGATCCTAACACCCCAGGTTCCTCCACTTGCATACCCAGCCTGACTCCCACGCTGCAGGTCACTCCATGCCCTTTCCTGGCACCTACATATCCTGTGCTCCTCCCCACACTAACCCCAGACCCTCTCAGAACCCTCACTAGAGCCCCTCCAGCTCCCCAAACCTGTTTCCAGATTGATATTTCTTCACAGGATAATCTCTATCCCTATCCCATTACCTGTTCAGGGCTCTTGGCAGCGAGTTCTGAAAGAGGGAACTGCTGAGGCTCACAAAGGACAGAGCAGCTCCAGGGAGTTGCCACTGAGTGGTCAGGCAGAGGGACGCCTGGCTCTCACACACCACTGCTCACCTGCAGGAAGGGTAGGCGCTTTAAAGCCTCCTTCTGCCCGCCTGCCGGCCCCACCCATGGCCAGTTAGCCTCAACTTGCCCCTGCTGCCCCCTGCTGCCTGGAGACTGATCCCCACAACCACCGCCTCAGCAGGCCTCCGCCTGGCAACACCAGCCCTGGGCAACGCCCCTCCTGATCTCAAGAAGCAGCCCAGGGCTGGGGTAAGTGACTCCCCGGAATGTCTGTGTGCCCTCCACCACAACAGTGCAATGTGCTTCTTACCCTGCACCTGCTGATACACTCATACATACCCTCTGTGCTTATGCTCACATGCACACGCATCTGCCCATGCTGCCATCCATATGTTCACACAGCAAGCACCCAGTTACATACATAAACATGTACTAGTATTCCTGAATGCACTTGAGTGTGTGTGTGTGCGTGCATGCGCACACACGCACACTAAACTCTTTGTGGACTGACTCCCAGCAACTAACAAACAACAGAATAATATCTGACGTATGTACTTACGTATCTCTCTCTCTGTCTGTCATACACACACACGCGCACACATACACACACACACTCCCTCTCTCTCTCTCACTTTCAAGGAAATGACCGAGATTTGGCAGCTTCTGCTCTCTCCTCCGAGTAGCAAATAGTTCCTAATCCTCTTCGCTCCATAAAACCTCACATTCCCCATTTTCCCCTCTCTTTATCTTTGCATCTCCTCTCCCTCCGCATCTTTTTATTTTTCCCCTTCCCAGTCTTCTCTTAGCTCTCTGAGTACACCCCTTCCCTTTCTGCCAGTAGGTGGCACCACGGTCCCATGAAGGAACCACCCCCAGTTCCAAGGCTCCGTGATCCCATCTTTATCATTCCTAGTGGGGCTGCCTGACTGCTTCCTGCTCCAGCACTCCTGATGTAGAGTTGCGGGGAAAAGTCCTGGCTTCCGGGTCATTCAGACCAGGCGCTGGAATCCTGGCTCCGTCGCTTATGAACTGTGTGACCCTGGGGACTTTTTTAGACTTGGTTTTAAACTTCTGTTTGCTGGTCTTCTGTGTAATAATAGTTATGGGCTTTTCAAGTGAGATTTTCTTCCTGCTCTGGAAGGAAGGGACAGTAGGGAATGAGCACAGAACAAGAAGGTCAAAGTGGAGAGAGTCACAGGCAGTGGGGCTACGAGATGGAGGAAATTGAAATTTTTTTTTTTTTTTTTTTTTGAGACAGGGTCTTGCTCTGTTGCCCAGGTTGGAGTGTAGTGGCACCATCATGGCTCAACCATCATGGCTCACTGCAGCCTTAACCTCCTGAGCTCCAATGATCCTCAGCCTCCCAAGTAGCCAGGACCACAGGTATTTGCCACAACGTCCAGTGAATTTTTTTTTTAAACAGACTAGGTCTTGCTGTGCTGTCCAGGCTGGTCTTGAACTGGGCCCAATTGATCCTCTTACCTCAGCCTCCTAAAGTGATGGGATTACAGGCATCAGCCACTGTGCCCAGCTGAGGAAGTGGATTTCTAAGTTTGTTTTGTTTTTATAGTGGAAGAAGGCAGCTGAAGAGACAGAAGAGAGAGGGGCTAATAGTATTACAGACTACACTAATAATACTGATCATATTTTATTTTTTATTTTTATTTTTTTGAGACGGAGTCTCGCTCTGTCGCCCAGGCTGGAGTGCAGTGGCGCAATCTTGGCTCACTGCAAGCTCCGCCTCCCGGGTTCACGCCATTCTCCTACCTCAGCCTCCCAAGTAGCTGGGACTACAGGCGCCCGCCACTGCGCCCGGCTAATTTTTTTCTATTTTTTAGTAGAGACGGGGTTTCACCATGGTCTCGATCTCCTGACCTTGTGATCCACCCGCCCCGGCCTCCCAAAGTGCTGGGATTACAGGTGTGAGCCACCGCGCCCGGCCCTGATCATATTTTAAATGTCTTGCATATATTAAGGCTTTTTTTCCTCTTCACTTTCCACTTTCCACTTCTTTCCACTTCACTTTCCACTTCTCATGAGATAGACTTTCTTATCTCCATTTTTAAATATGGGGAAACAGAAGCACCAAAGGGTCAGGTACTTGCCATGATCACACAGGTTGTAAGTGGCAGAGCCAGGATTCAATCCCAGTTAGTCTGGCACCAGAGCCTACATCTTAACCACCAAGCAGACTGTCTACACTGATGGAATCTCTAAGGAGGCAAGCAAGCCTGGTTTCCATAAAGAGCAAGGGAAGAGGCCTTAGTCTGACCTGAGGAAGAGGAGGAGCAGGGGCAGGTGGGTTTGTAGTTACAGTTGCTAGAAGCTGATGGAAGCAAGGTCATATTCTAAGCCTGAGGATGGCAAGAGTAGAGGCTGGAGAAGGGGATGGGGGAAAGATGAGGTTTGTGAGGGTGGTACTAAGGGTCCTACAGAGTCCTGCAGGAACAGAAAGGAGGGTGAAGCTGGGAAGGGGGCCTTTGAGGAGCAGAGTAACAGGGAAAGGAAGAAGGGACTGAGGAGTGGAAGGAGAAGGAGAAAGTCTATTTTTTTTTTTTTTTTTTTTTTTTTTTTGACGTTGTCTCACTCTGTTGCCCAGGCTGGAATCCAGTGGCACAACCTTGGCTCACTGCAACCTCCGCCTCCCAGTTTGAAGCAATTCTCCTGCCTCAGTCTCCTGAGTAGCTGGGATTACAGGTGCACACCACCACGCCTGGCTAATTTTTGTATTTTTAGTAGAGACAGGGTTTCACCATGTTGGCCAGGCCAGTCTCGAGCTCCTGACCTCAAGTGATCCACCCACCTCAGGCTCCCAAAGTGCTGGAATTACAGGCACGAGCCACCGCTGGCAGCTTTCTCTTTCATTCTCAGGAAGAATCGGGACCAGATTACATTCATCTATGGCCCTGGTGCTCAGCACATATGAAGTTGTTAGTGAACATTTTCTGAATTAATGAGTGCAGAATAATGAGAGTTAAGTGCTCTGGGTTTTGGATCTTGATCATCATGGATTTGCTTCCTGCCTGCCTCTAATTGTGAGACTTCACCTCACTGAGCCTCAGTTTCCTTATACAGTGGATCCTCATTATTCACAGATTCCATACCTATGAATTTGCCTGCTTACTGAAATTTATTTGTCATTCCCAAACCAATACTTGTGGTACTTTTGCAGTCATTAATGGACATGAGCAGAAAGGCAAAAAATTTCAGCCATCCAACACACATATTTCCAGCTGAGGTCTGTTGAACAATAAGACTCTCCGTCTTCTTATTTCAGCTTTCATAGATAAACAAATGTGATTTTTGGTGGTCTATTTAGTGCCGTGTATTCTCACATTTTTTGGTGTTTTTTGTTGGTGATTTTACTGTCTCAAATGGTCCCCAGTTGCAGTGCTGAAGTGCTTGCTAGTGTTTCTAAGTGCAAGAAGGCTGTGATGTGCCTTATAGGGGAAATACGTGCTTTAGATAAGTTTCATTCAGGCACAAAGTATAATGCTGTTGGCCGTGAGTTCAATGTCAGTGACTTAGCGCTATATATATATATATATAATTTTTTTTTTTTTTTTGAGACAGAGTTTCACTCTTGTTGCCCAGGCTGGAGTGCAATGGTGCAATCTGCGCTCACTGCAATCTCCACCTCCTGAGTTCAAGCTATTCTCCTGCCTCAGCCTCCCGAGTAGCTAGAACTACAGACACCTGCCACCACACCCAGCTAATTTTTGTATTTTTAGTAGAGACGGGGTTTTGCCATGTTGACCAGGCTGGCCTTGAATTTCTGACCTCAGGTGATCTGCCCACCTTGGCCTTCCAAAGTGCTGGGATTACAGGCATGAGCCACTATGCCCAGCCAACAATGTGTATTAAATAACGTGTCTCCACACATAAAATCAGGTTATATATATAGATCAGTTGACAAAAATATTGTGACCAGAGGGTTTCAGGAACCTAACCTCGCATTTACCCTTTGTTCAGTATTTACTGTTTGTGGTGACTTTATAGAACATTACTGGGAATAATGAGAATTGACTGTATATAAATAGGTACAATAGTGGCATATCCTTAAAAGTAGCTGTGAGATTAAATGAGATAACGTTGGTAAAGTGCTTAGCACAGTGTCTGGCACATAGTAAGGGCTCAAAAAACATTGTTAATATTGTTACTATATGGATACGTGAGAAAGTGAGGAAGTGAGTTCCCCCTCTAGAGCCTCTTTCCCAGGGGGCCAAAGTGAGGCTGTCTGGGTGTTGGGCTGGCTTTTAGGCCAGACCCAATAGAGAAGATTGTGAAGGAGCCTGACCCATGAGGAGGGGTCAGGGCCCACGACTTGTAATAAAGGGCCCTGCCCTTATGCAGACTTTATATGTCATAGAGGCCTCAGCTACCCTGGCCACCAGCATCCCCCAGGCACAGTGCAGAAGCTCCCTGTGCCCATGGGGCCATCTCGGCTTGTCCGTGGCCCTCGGCCCCAGGGCATGCGTTCCCCCTACCGCAGACCAGGTATGGGCTGGCCCAGGCCCCGGTTTCCCAGGATGTTCAAGTGTAGCCGCAGAAGATACCAGCAGGGTGTCCAAGGTCGAACTGCCAGCAGGGCAGCCACCAATCCTGCCACCATGGCCATGGGTATCAACAACACCCACACTGACACTACCATAGTGTGGATCTTCCCACCTCAAGGTTAGCCAGGGGGCCTGTGAGCCAGGGTGGGGTTTTAAAAAACAGAGCCACTAGGCTGGGCGCGGTGGCTCACGCCTGCAATCCCAGCACTTTGGGAGGCTGAGGCGGGCAGATCACAAGGTCAGAAGATGGAGACTATCCTGGCTAACACAGTGAAATCCCATCTGCACTAAAAATACAAAGAAATTTAGCCAGGTGTGGTGGCACGTGCCTGTAGTCCCAGCTACTTGGGAGGCTGAGGCAGGAGAATCGCTTGAACCCGGGAGGCAGAGGTTGCAACGAGGCAAGATTGCACCACTGCACTCCAGCCTGGGCAACAGAGTGAGACTCTGTCTCAAAAAACAAACAAACAAACAAACAGACCCAGAGCCACTGAAGATTTCCCTACCTGGTTCTGTTTAGGCACTCCAAAGGATGATCTCTATGAAATACCACCCCTACATGTATGGTGGACTCTTGATGGCAGGCACCCCAAAGTGCTGGCAGCCTTAATGGAGGATGGATTGGCTGGAAGCAGAGGGTTTGGGAAGGGGCTAAATCCAAGGGGCAGGGAACTTCCAGAACTGCTGCTTTCCTCACACTCTTCCCTCTCCTTCCTCTCCTCAGTTCTCAGACATCTCAGGCAACCTGGGATTTTTCTGATCCTCTAGAAGTGCCCAGAAGCTAGCACAGAAGCCTGGCTTGCCCTGGACCTGCATCTCCTAGGGGCCGTGTGGGTGGTGAACAACAAATACAATCATTCTGCTCAAACTGCCTTATTCCTCACGCACGGAGGTGTTAACCAGCTGACTATGCAGGGTGTAAGGGGAGGGTTAGGGCTGAATACTTACAGGGAAAAGCTTCAGTGACCACAGCAGGGATCATAGTTAAGACAGTAGGAGGACAGGACAAGGTCAGCAACATAGACCATCTTTGGTCTCAGCTCTTGATCTGCCCCATGAAGTAGGGGCTCTCTTGCCTCACGCTCCTAACTGCACAAGGAGAAGGGTCTCTATAAACATCTTAGAAGGTATTGGGAGGCACAGATCAGAGACGGATAGGCTGGAAGACTGAACCCTCAGAGTACACAAGTATGAGGTGGATGTGAGGTGGTTGTGCCTCTGTGTGCCTGTGATGGTCAGCGTGGAGGTGGAGCTGCTGGTGTGTGTGTCTGAGGCCGGGAGAATGGGAATATAAGCAGATGTGGCTGAATGTGCCTTTGTGATTGAATGTGCCTCTGTGACTGACTGTGAGTGTCAAGGAGTGTTTGTGAGGGTATGGTTGTGCCGGAGAGGACATCAGCCCTGGTAAGAAAAATGAAGGTCAGGAGGGGGATGGGGAACAGCTTAAAGGAGGAGAATGTGGAGAAGGGTGAGATTCTGAGAAAGGCATACTACCTTCAGCCCTTCAACCATTCTCTGAGGTCAGTGTTTTCCAGAACTGGCAGTTGAGCTGGGGTGCTTAGGGGTGGGGCAAGACTGAGTGTGAGCCCAGAAAGTAGGGAGGGTGCTAAGCTCTCTGGCCTGGGGATTTTCCATTTGGATTTCTGAGTGTGTGCTCATGTGTCACTGGCTGTAACCGGATTTCTGTGGTGTTGTGTCTTAGTAGCTGGGAACGTTGTGTGGGACTCTGTCTCTAATATGTTGCATTATGCATGGGTTAATGTGTGTCGCACCAGTCCGAGATCTGGCTCCATTTCCAGGCCTACCTTCCCAGGGGGCTAGGGAAGGGAGTGAACCCTGAGACTTTCGGTGGCCTGGCGCCCTGGGGTTCAGGAAGCCTGGCTAATGTCCTTTGCTGCCTGTGAAGGGAAAGTGAATTGTGCCTATGTCTGTCTACCCCAACTCTTGCCAGAGACTGGGACCCTGAGGGGGGTTGAGGTAGAAAATTCACTGACACACCATGCCCAGACAGTGCTGGGCTCCTCAGGGTATGGGATGGGGATGGCTGGACATCAGACAAACCTAGAAGGTGCTTGGGCCATGCTCAAGGGCCCAAGAGGGGCCATACATATAAAGATAATTGACACAGTTCACAAACACATGCAGACATGTGAATATAAGTGAACTCATAGACACACACTGCAACAAACGCACACATGCATGCAAGCACATACTATAAGCAGATATACGCAGACACAAATGCATAGATCCCCACACGACGTATGTAACAACACATATGCATGCCTCTAAATGAACACACACACACAGAAATATGCATGCACCCAGACACAAGCACACAAGCATCCAAATGCAGACACATGCCTTCACACTCATGCAAACCCAGGCACACACAGACATACACGCATGCAGACACACTCACCAGATTTCCCTGCCCCTGCGGCCCTGGGACCCAGAAGCCTCCCTGCCCTACATGAGAGTGTATAATATATGTGTGTGCATGCACTCATGCCCACGCTTATGTCTATGTGTATCTGTGTCTGTGAGAGTGTGTGTTTGTGCTCGAGTGTGTGTATGATGGGGGTGCTAAGCTGTGGGAACCAGATGACATCATCTCTTCCAGCTATTTTTAGCTGTATCTGCAATGATGTCTCCTTCACTGCCCCTCCCCCTTCAGGTTCCTAATTCTTCTCCCCATCTAGGCTCCCAGAGGCAGCAGCAGCCAGAGGGCATCCACCACCTCAGTTTAGGTGACTTCCCGGATGACTGGGTGCCGCCCACTCTCTCCCACCCTGCCAGAGTTCCCTGGAGGCTGAGAACACCAGGGTCTCAGGCTGGAAGGGCCTGAGTTAGCTGAGCTGACCTAGATGGTCTCCACCCCTTGGGGTGCCTCTGCTTCTGCTTTTCAATCTGCAACTCTGTGTCAGTCAACAGTGTCTGCTATGTGCCAGGGATGGTGCTAAATTCTGGAGATACAGCAGTGAGCAAGGCAGTGGGAGTTCTTTCCCAGAGCAGTTATAGCTCAGTGAGAGACATTACACAGATTATACAAGCTCTTCTTTAAATTGTGAGGAGGGCTCTGAGCACTGGTAACAGGGGCTCCTAGTCTGAGATGATGTTCTCTGCCTCTCTCTGTTCTTCCTTCTCCCATAAGTAGGATAACCTGAGGAAACCAGAGGGAATACACCCCTTACCTTGCACCCCTCATCCTAACAACCATATCTCCAGAATTCCACAGAGCAGCGCTTCCTTCTCACATCCTAGACTGTGGTCCCAACATGGCACTAACCCACCATCCAACTAACTGGTGGTCCATGACATTCATATCTCCTTTTTTTTTTTTTTTTTTTGAGACGGAGTCTCGCTCTGTCGCCCAGGCTGGAGTGCAGTGGCCGGATCTCAGTTCACTGCAAGCTCTGCCTCCCAGGTTTACGCCATTCTCCTGCCTCAGCCTCCCGAGTAGCTGGGACTACAGGCGCCCGCCACCTCACCCGGCTAGTTTTTTTGTATTTTTTAGTAGAGATGGGGTTTCACCGTGTTAGCCAGGATGGTCTCGATCTCCTGACCTCATGATCCGCCCATCTGGGCCTCCCAAAGTGCTGGGATTACAGGCTTGAGCCACCGCGCCTGGCCTCTCCTTTTTCTTTGTTTCTTTCTTTCTCTTTTCTTTTTTCTTTTTCTTTCTTTTTTTTCTTTTTTTTTTTTTTGAGACAGAGTTTGGCTCTGTTGCCCAGGATGGAGTGCAGTGGCGCAATCTCAGCTCACAGCAGCCGTCTTCTCCCAGAGTCAAGTGATTCTCATGCCTCAGCCTCCCTAGTAGTTGGGACTACAGGTGTGTGCCACCAAGCCTGGCTAATTTTTGTATTTTTAGTAGAGATGGGGTTTTGCCATGTGGGCTAGGCTGGTCTCGAACTCCTGGCCTCAAGTGATCCACCTACCTCAGTCTTCCAGAGTGCAGGGATTACAGGCATGAGCCACCCAGCTCAACTCTTCCCCTGCCTTCTTTTTAGGGACAGGGTCTCGCTCTGTCACTCATACTGGAATGCAGTGGCCTGACCTTGGCCCATTGCAGCCTCAATCTTCTTGGCACAATCTATCCTCCCACCTCAGTCTCACAAGTAGCTGGTACTATAGGTGCAGGCTACCATGCCTGGATAATTTAAACTTTTTTTTTTTTTTGTAGAAACATGTTCTCCCAGCTACTCAAGAGGCTGAAGCATGAGAATTGCTTAAACCTGGGAGGTGGATGTTGCAGCCGAGATCATGCTACTGCACTCCAACTCTTGGGTTCAAGTGATCCTCCCTCCTCAGCCTCCCAAAATGTTGGGATTACAGACATGAGCTACTGCTTGGCCCCCCCACCTCACTTCTCTTTGAAATATTCCTGTAGTCAGTCCCTGGGAGGCAGGCCACTATTCCCCATCTATAGATGAGAAAACCAAGGCTCAGAGATGGGGAGCTCTGGACCACACCTCACAGTGCCTGGGGAGCAGCCCAGGGGAGATGGCAGGCAGGTGGAGAAGGAAGTGGTGGCGCACTGGGACAGTTGGCACAGGTACAGAAGGAGCAGGCCAGGCCAAGGAATCAGGAGGTGAGGGGGAGGAGGACGATGGCCTGAGGGTTCATGCCAGGAGGAGGGCTTCCCGCTCCAACCAGCCTCAGGCAGTCACTGGAAAATCGGGTTTGGCAGCTTCAGCCATGTGCTGCAGGACTGGAAGAAGGTCCAGGCTGCTCCTGGGAGGCAACCTAGCGTGGGCTCTTCCTCTAGCCCTGAGTTTCACCACCTGGCTAGTTGGGGGAGTATTACTTTATAATTCTGGGGCCCTTTGGACTGTGAAGGGACCAGCTCTGGGCTAGAGGCAGGAGCCCGGAGCTTCGAGCCCGGAGCTTCAGTCCCGGTTCTGCCCAAGCCCTGATCTGACCCTTGGAATGTCCTGGCCCCTCTCTGCTCTAGAGAAATAGTTTCCCCAGACCCCAACTCCTGCCCCCCAGATTTTTCTGGGAGTCTGACTCAGGCACAGGAACACAGGGTCAATGGGTAAGGGCACGAACAGACAGCTCCTGGGGCGCCAGGCTGGAGGTCGCTTGTCACTAACAGGTCAATGGCCGGAAGCCCAGCTCCAACCCCACAATGCAATACCGGTCACCCCACCCTTACCAGTGCCCTCACCCACACCCCCACTTCCAGCCTCTGTTCCTTCCTCACCTCTGGGGAAGGCTGCAGGGCTCCCTAGGGAATTTCCCCTGGTTCCTCCACTGGCGCTCTGCCCAATGCTTAACCCTCCTTCCCACACCTATCCATTCAGCCAGGCCAGTCTCCGACAAAACTTTCTCTCCCTGGACCCTGGGGCAGGGCAAGGAGGGAAGGAAGCTGAGTGGAAGGCCTGCAAAGGAGACTGCTTTTCCTGCTGCCCTCAGGTACTGAAGCCCAAGTAAGAGTTTTTAGGACAGAGGGAGTAGACTGAGTGTTGGGCCCTAGGACTGGGCTTCCCTGGGTACTATCCCACCCCCTGAGCCTCGGGAGAGGTGGCAATGACCTTCCTCTGCACCAGTGTGGCCAGAGAAGAAAGCCTGGAGCTGAGACTTGCAAATTCTAGAAAACAAACACAAAACCAAGGCCAAGAGAGCATTGGCTACTATTACCAACAAAATTCATTAAACACAATTTTTAAAAATCATGAAATTCTAGATTCATGGAGTTCACAGTTATGGAATCTTAGCATCACAGAATTCTAGCATGGTAAAATCTGGGTTACAGAAACTTAGAAATTCAGAATTGTGGCATTACTGAGTTCCAGATGACAAAATTAGAATATCCTTGAAATGGACATCTTGAGAAATCAATTAATAAAGCCCTTACATTCAGATGGCTGTCTAAACTAGAGGATTTCCTGCTGGGGA